GTCCATCTCCTTTAGGTTATCCATTTTGCTTCCATAAAGTTTTTTCATAATATTCTCAAATGATATTCTGTATTTCTATGTTATTTGTTGTTTATCTTATTTTATTTTTAGTTTTTGTTTTTTGTAACTAATGTATACTTTTTATTTGCAGTTACCCTGTTTTTAAAATATGTTAGCTCATTACTATATGTTTGCCTTACATTGGTAGCCATGTAGGCACACACACATCCAAAACAGAATGAAGAAAAAAATATATTTTAAAAAGTAGAGGAAAGAAACCTATGTTTTCTTGCCCTCCTCTCTCATTTTTTATGATTTGGATGTCCTTTTTTTTTTTAATATCTTCCTGTTTATTCTCTTGCAACTCATTGTAGTTATTGCATTTCTAATTTGTTTTTTTATTTATATAGCATCCTGCTTCTTTTTCTATTTAGAGTAGACCCCTCAATATTTATTTTAACATAGGTTTAGTATTGCTAATTCTCTTATTTTTTTGCTTGTCTGTGAAATTCTTTATCTCTCCTACTCTAAAGATGGTCCTACTGGATAGAGTATCCGAGGTTGCAGCTTTTTCTCATTCAGGACTTTGACTATATCTTGCCATTCCCTTCTGGACAGCAGTATTTTTGTAGAGAAATCAGCTGAAAGCCTTATGGGTGTTCCCTTGTAACTAACTTTGTTTTTCTCTCACTGCCTTGAGACTCATTTGTCTTTATGTTTGGCCATCTTAATTACAGTATGTTTTGGTGTAGACCTGTTTGAGCTCTTGTTTTTCAAATATCTCTTCAATCCCCTTTTCTCCTTCTTCCTTTTCTGGGACCCCTATTATGCCTCGATTGGCATGCTTTATATAATCACATAGGTCCCTTATATTGCTTTCATTGGTTTTTACTTGCTTTTCCATCTGCTGTTCTGATTTGGTGACTTCTATTATCTTGTCTTCCAAGCCACTCATTTGTTCCCCTGCATTATCTAGCCTGCATTTGACTGCCTTTAGCTTGGCTTTTATCTCCGCCATGAATTTTCTATTTTTAATTGGGTTCTCTTTATAGTTTCTATTTCTTATTATAGTATTCTCTGTCTCTATTAATATTCTTTTTTTTTTTCCTTCAGTGCTTTAATCATCTCCTTTTTTAAGTCATGATGTAGTAGACTGTCGAGGTCTATCTCATTCATTCTTTCAGAGGACTTCTCTTATTCTTTTACTTGGGAGTGGTTCCTTTGATTCTTTATTTTACTTATATTTATCTAGTTCTATTGATTTATGAGTATTAGTTATCTGCTGTGGTATTGAAAGGAATTTTTTGTTTTTTGTTTATTTTATTTAAAATGGGAACATTCCTGTGTAGAATATGTACATCTAACAGTTTTCTTGCAATGGCTGTTTTAGCACGGATGGTTGCCATGTCTTTCTTCATTGTATGTTGGCTGTTATCCCTTTGATTGGGGGTGTGGTTGGTTTGTGGTGGTCAGAGCCTGTCCTGATTTTTTTATTGAGTGGGGCCTCCTTTTTTATTCTGTGGTTGTCGCAGCCTTGACAGGGGCCAGGTCTACTCTTCTGTTGCTGGAGTAGAGGCTTCTAGACATGTTTCTGAACTGCAGTGTGTGGTAGGTAGGGTTGGAACACTTCAGTTGGAAATAAAAGTTACTGAGTATACTTCCACAGGAAATATTTCCTGGATAGTGCCCTATGTGGTGTTGTCTGTCACTTATTATGCAGGCTTACAGAGTATTCTTTGTTAATGCTGCCTTTGTCCCAGCCTTTGTTGCTGGAGTGTTAACTAGCCTCCCTGGTGTCTTCTAGTTTCTGGGCCCCCAGAACCACCAGCATAGATCCACCAATATCAGGTGCTAGGACCCAGCAAAGCAAGTGTGCAGTCACACACTTGAACCACAGGGTGCACCACAGGGTTAGTATAGACCCCATCCCTGGCACTGCAAATGGTCCAGTATTCTGGTCTGTTGTAAATATCTATGCTCACCTTCAACATATGCCAGAACTTGCTCATTGCTTGTTCATCCTAGAGGCACTGGTTCACAAAGGCATCAGTGGAGCAAGTCCAGCCTCTTTGCCTGGGGTTCTAAAACAAGTCTGAATTCCCACATGTGAAGTTCCACAGCCCCTGGGTATGAATTTTAGTTCTGCACAGCAGTGATGCCTATGACTGAGCTCCACCTCTCTTCTCAAGAGAACACACCAACAATGGAGCCAGAAGAGAAAGCAGCTATGGCATGGCCACACTGCACCCCACCCCCTGCACACATACACCAGAAGTGGTGCATTTTTATG